TTACTTCAGATTCAAACAAGTGAGAATATATTATCTTGACTTTTCTTCAAGGGAGTAATATGTAATTATAGTATTTTTATGCGTCCCTGGGATTCCTACTAGAGCAGATATCCACCATATGCTAACGTCTGCCATTTCCTTTAGCAGACTTTCCTTCACATGATCCTTCCGTGGAGTGATTGGATTCCCCACCTGTTGCTTACTATTCGGGTTCCATTTAAAGACAGCACCGTAGTACTTATTAGTAATTAAATTCTGCAGGGACCGAATAGTTGTGAATCATGCGACAAGATAAAGGCATCAGAAGCCAGAAACTCTTGCTGCGCAGATTTACCCGTATCGTGAAAACTCAACAAGTAGAAACAAACAGCAACGAGCATTTAAACCATGCAGTAGTTGATAGTGTCAACCACAACAGTCTCTGAACAATCAGCCTCGATTTTCTTGAGTATATTCGTTGCACCATAGGCTCTGGGACGGTTCCTCATCAAAGTTTCTAATATCACCTCTTTTCTGCCTAATTTTCGAAATCTGGCAAATGCAGATGTTGACGAAAGCTTGCAGTCTGCTGGAAATGCTTCTCGTATTGTAAGAACATAAAAATCCACTAGATAACATTAGGTACAGCTTCGGTGTGTAGGCTTATCCAACCGACATTCTCAGATAGGTCGTTTCAAGAGGCGACTGAAGCAATTATTTTGCAACATATTAGGCTACGTTCGCTCATATACGATAGGTGGTTTTGGGACTCAATACGATGTGATGAGCAATCAAGTGGGAACATTTTCTTCTTCTTTATCTATTAAGTGATAAATGTGAGTTCCGTTCATCTGATTAGTACACCTTCTGTGTTAGCCTTCTACCATGTTCCGAAAATGAAACACTAAATATACCACTTGATATATATGCCCTGTCCAGAGATGTTTAGCACACTTCTCCAACAATGGTAATACTTAATAATGAAGTATATTGCCACTCGTACATTTAGTGGACCAAGTACATCTTTGTGAGGTTGAAAATCAAATCCGGGAGAGCACTTTGTCTTGTAAAGGCCTACTGAATGAAGAGCTGAAGACTGGGAGCCTGTCTGCCTTTAATCACATTAGGTCGTTCAACATTTAAAATAACTGCCCTGAACGCTCTATCACAAAATCCGCGAAGCCTACACTACCAAAGCAGCACAAACTTTCTACCACCGGAAACTTCTTCACCAGAATCTACAATTCCGTTGAGACTCATCGATAGAAATGACGAGAAACAATCCACTCCGTTCACTGAAAATACCTTCACAGCTGATCTTAGATTCCCTATCTCTGAAAAACCAAAACTCAATTTTTAGCCAGATCCCTCAATGTACGAATGTGATTGTGCCTCAAACTGCATGTCGGGATTTCGGTAGTCGATGTATCAGGATGATTGTTTTGAAAGTCCTTTCCACGCAACCTATCAACAGTATTTGAAATTATCTGTATATTTTAGTCAAATTTATATTCATTATGCCACATGTCTGAGCTTTGTTTCATCATTTGGATATATCCTTTAGAGTCAATACTTCCGATTAGTCTTATTCGATTGACTCGTCATCCCAACACTTCATTTTATTGTGTTATTGTAGTGTTGATAATAAAATGTAATATGACCGTTTTAAATACTCGGCTTCAGTCAGAGTGAAGTTGCGCCATGAAGTGGTTGCTACAAACAAGTTTTGTTTTATTTAACTTTTGCGTGTAAGATATCAACCTTATTTCTGCTTGAAATTAACTAGTTGGTTTTCATGTGTTTGTCAGTTGAATTTTTATGCAGAATGTAATCCAAGTTTTCGTATACTCCTCCTATCCATCTGGATGGGTCGTTAAATCATCAATTGTGAAATTTTTCATTATCATATTTGGCTATTTGAGGAACAGACTGGATTCTGTCCTTTAGAAATGCTTTTTCTATATTTAAAGGTAATCATGGGATAGAATACTTAGTGTTTCATCGTGAAGTGCCGGTTATCTTTGCGTGTGACTCTCCTACACGCAGTGGAATGTTTGCATTTGGACTTAATTCTTACAAAAATTCAGTAGTTCTGCGTAGTAATCGGTTCAAACTTCGCCGCTGCGTATAAGAGCGAGGAGGTTGTGAACCTGAAAACAGACCGATGTTATCATCGGACTGATAATGCACTGTGGGGCTATTTTTATTCCTTTTTGTCAGCAATGTTAGTTTATTGTTTGATAACCATTTATTAACATTGGCTTTTAGTTTAACCCGCAGTTATATATAGATAATCTGAATATAGATTATTCATTCATGTTGGCATTCGTTACCGTTAAAATCAGCTATTTCTTTTACTTTGAACGTTTCTGCTACCAGGTCAGCTCATTTATTTCTTTGTAATCAATTCACAAGTTGCTTTCATGACCTTTCTTAGTTTTTTAGCTGTTTTCAGCTTTTAATGAAATAAAACTATGTAGAAGTTCCTGAAATTATGCACATGAACGTGTTTGGGTAGAAGAAGCTGTTGCTTTGAATTCATTTATTGGCTGCTTTTGCTGGAAACGAAAAGAAATCGGAAGGCTGTAAAATTGTCTAAAGGGGCCAGTAAAATCGGTGGTTGTTATTGATCAACTTACTATATCCAAGTACGTTGGCTGACCATTAGTGATACGTATCTGTTATCGGTGCAATAAGTTAATAAATACTTTTGTATATGCGGGTTGTAGTAACTTGCACTGATGCATATATAATGACGGATCACATGAGTTACAGATTAAATGAGTCAGAATTAGGTATGGTAAAGTTAATGTTGGCCATTTCATCAGAACCAAACGAAGTTATTGAGTACGTAAAAGATTTAAATTGTGGATGATATGCAATAGTCTCCTGAGTAGACGAAATGCCCCCGTTGAAGAATAACCATTCAAATTGTGGATAATAACCGGTGTTTTTTCGGAGTTATACGTTGGGAAGTTGATTATTATTCGAGATAAAAACAGCTTGTTTCTCTTCAAATTAGGAAACCCTTATCCGCCTATACTTTTAATTTCTTGGTTCCTATAATAACGGAATATACATAACTTTGTAGAAAGCTTCGGGTAAATATTCCTCTGACCAGTGATCTTCGTTTTCTAATCTTAACTAGCGCAACATTTATCGACACGATAAGAATATTCTGCAGCCGTAGAACTTCGGCGTCCTTTTGAGTTGATATTACTCATCTAACTCTCCCGACCCTAATGATCTATGGCGTTTAACCCACGGCATTAACTCACGACATTAAGAAATCGAAAGCACACTAACTTCGGCAGATTTATTTTTACTTTGCAAATAACTGAATTTTGAGTCCGTGTTGGTGTTGTGGTAATAGAAGACATAACGCCAAGCTTTTTATTGGGGATGTGGACAAATTTACTTTCTTTGGCAACGTGAAATGGCTCACTAGGGTAGTAGTTTGAAGGGATTACCCTCAGCAGAAGCTGTTTTAATGTAGCAACTTAGTTTTAGGTAGTGTGTCATAGGACTTAGAAGCTCACGTTGACTATGTCTAAATGTGTACTTGGCTAGATTCTGGTTCTTGAATACTTTATTAGGTAGACTTAATATTAATGAATGATATAAAATTATATTCGGTGCTGGATGTACGTTCCATGTGCGCATGCTGTGATTTTCACTGAAGACTATTATACTACACTATAGTAATACTATTTATTGAATTAATGCGTTAAGTGATACACTCATGTGGATTAGACTGGTAATTATCTCCTCCATTGCACTCGCAGTAATCATGAAAATCACTTACATCTGTTATCCTAGCAGCCAACTAAACATTAGTAAGGTTGAGAATTTCTTATACACTGGGTCCACATAAGCACGATTTTACTTTTTTTCCTTCACATTCCCAGTGGAACATGGGGCTTCAAGCTAGTGGGCTGAAGTTTCTGTAGCAGGGTTTATTTTACAGGATGGGGTTGCTAGCCTCATGCCCAACCCTTCCTCTTTACCAGCATTACTTCTGGCTTAGAGAGGTAAATGAGTGCGTCGGCCGGGGACTAAACCCGGACTATGTGCATTGTCGGCGAGCTTCCTGACCGCAATGCCACCGACGCACATAATCACGATACTGCGCATCAATAAATGCGATCATATAATAATTCCATTAATGAGTAACCTTTCAACTTAAGATAATTTATTTTATTTTTGATTTACAGCTTGATTACACGCTGTATTTTCGGTACAAGTATGGAATTTTCAGCATGGATATCGGTAGCCCAAATTTTGCAGGCCGACCATAGATATCAGATGTGCGTCGGTGCGGGCTCGAACCCGGACCATGTGCATGGTCGGCGAGAGTCCTAACCACTGTGCCACCGACGCCAACACACATACGGCGAGAAACGCAACTGCATCATAACTTCTGATCTGATAGAAAGTTATGTTTGCATTTTTTAGTGATTTCCACCTACTGACAGTATTGTTTTGCGCAGAAATAGGTTGTGAATTCTTCATTGAAGCGTACTTTGCAAGAAAATATGCAGATTCTAAATAAAACAGACTATTTTCGTAGATGAAATCACCCTTCGGTTACTTCACCCTGCTTACTATGGCATTATTTCAACACAGTTTGCATGGGACACAAACCCCTGCAACCAATATACTTAGAGCATGTCACAGTCAGACCACATGAAGTGGACACCGACTTACCACGTCGGAAAATTAAAGTTTCTAGCAATCTAGACAACATATAAAACAGTTTCATTAACAGTTATTGAAGAAAACTTTTCCAATTGAACTTTCAAGCAACCTACAGAATAAGTTCAGCCTGAAAATATGCTGACTTCGTTTACGCTATTGAAACGTAGTCTTCTTTAGCGCGATTGACAATTATGTTGTTACAATGTCAGCTGTTTTTCGTGGTCATTGGTGTCATCAATGAAGTTCAGTTCAGATAAAAGACAGGTGTTCGATTTTCGGAAATAAGCTTGTGAAAAATTAAAAAATTTACTCAAGTAAAGGACATGGCCAACATGCAGAAAAAGTGTGAAATTTGTGGAGGGCAATTTACTGACAAGTCAAATTTGTCTTTCGAGGAAATGATTGCTAATTGGTTAGATGACAATCCTGAATTCGCCTTTAAGTATTTCGTCAAGTCTGCCTCTCCGAGTATGGTTGAGTCTTGGGCGAATGGACGAAATAATTGTGAAACGGAGTGTCTATTCGATAACTCTATGATCACTGCTATGGAGGAAGTACATAGGAAGAGCAACAATAAAAATACAGCCAGCACCACTCCTTCATTGCCTTTACGCAAAATTAGTAGCCAAGATCTTGAGTTGACATATGATAAACGTATACTATCTTCAAATAAAGAAGGAATGCCTACATTTATCAATTCGGTTTTCTTCTCATATGGAGCCGTTGAACATAATGATGTCAACATTAGCGTTCCCCCAAAAACTACTATTTCTCCGTACCGCTCATCCAAACCAACAGAAAGGGACTTGATAAGTGAACTTACGTTAGACATATATCATGAGCTTGATGTCACTTCCTTATGCTTTAAAATCGTGCAGAATGTATGTAAACTAATTGATGCTGATCGAGGTTCTTTTTTCCTTGTTGAAAAGTCGCGTTCAACTGGTGAGGATGTTCTTGTCAGCAAGCTCTTTGATATCACACCGGATTGCTCGTTGGAAGATGTTTTGCAAAAATGCTCTTCTAATCACATCACTGTTCCTCTTAACGCTGGGGTTACTGGTTACGTCGCACGTACTGGAGAGTATGCCAACATACCAGATGCATATGCAGTAAGTAATCGTTTCTCTAGGATTTTGTTATTTAGTTGGTCAGTCTGTACTGATCTCAAGTCTTATAATGCTCTTACACCTTTTCCAGTTGCTTTCTTGATGCTTTTCGTTTTGTTATATCCATCAATTGAATCCGTTTTTTCCAGTACTTAAGTAGTATTTTATTGCACATATCAGCAATCTTGACGAATAACCTTTATTCATCCTTGATTGATTTTTGTTTCCTTTTATTTATTACCAAATAGCTCACATCTTTATGTTGCATCTCACTAATTATATTACTGCTAACGTATAAATAATGTTGCCACTGGAATTTGTAATTTGATATGCAACCAAATAAAGATTTCAGGTAGATTGCCAAGTACTGAAAAATAGTTTTTATATCACGTTAGAGCGGCAAATACAAGAGACGTGATAATAAGAAATGGAATGTTACACAGTAACGAGTCACTTTTCCATGCAGTTGGCGACAAGCTACACCTATTATGTGGGGCTTAATGGTGCTACTTTGCTTTCCGAAACTAGATAAGTGAGGTGAGGTTGGAGTTGGTGACCCTGGTTGAAAGTTAAGAGTCCATACGGATAAGCCACAAATATAAGAATTTCAATACAACCCAACATGATGTTTACATAACCTTGGCATTTTAGTTTATTTATCCATTAAGCATAAGTTATTACCAGGTGGTGGGTCGTTGAGAAACGTATTATAATTACACGTTCTTTTCATTCACTAAAGGGAGCATATTTCCGTATTAGGTTATCGTTAGTTGAGGAATGGTGTTGTGTTGTTATCTATTTTCTATAAATAGTAACCAGCAAAATGTTCTCAAAAAGTGGTTGTGCATTTAATATTTGCAATACTTATGATAGGTTTCATGTTAGCAATATTTATGTGCTCGTGCGTTCCAGTCAGATCTTCATGATATCAAGTAGTGTGAGTGATACTAGGTAAACTGCGAACTTAACATAAATGGTTTGGTCGATTGAGGACTGGTAGTTCGTACTTCCAGTCTAAACAGATTGGTCCTTTCGAAAAATGTTAAATATCATGCCATTAAAAATGCAGTGCTATGTCAGATGTGCATGAGTAGTCCCGTTAATCTTTTCGTAGATTTGGATATCATGTCACAAAAGCACTTTGAAAACATTTTAAAGTAACAAAGCCTTGTTATGTATGAAGTCTCATAGTTATTTTTCTTTAAAGGTAAATGTCTTTTAAGAAGGTTTTCGAATACTTTAAACAGGTTATAGTAACATGGTGTTTCTATGCGGTTGAGAGCGTGGTTTAGATCCCTGTAGTACCTGATATGGGTAATGCCATAGTTTCAGGTGACTGTCAAAAGCCATCTCCGAAGGTTTGAATTCGTAAGGTTGGGGACCCTTCTTATCATGCATTTCGGAGTGGTCACGACTGATTTCTACCATGCAGTACTAATTACTGACCAAAAGACTTATTGTGGGCTTTGCCTGTTATTAAATGAGTCTTTAGCACTGCAAGGTCTACGTTTTTAAGGGCAATTTCTATAGGAAACGGTTGTTCAGAATGATTCATGGAGGAGAACATAGAAGTTATACTACAAACGGAGATATATTTTTCAATTCTGAGGAACACGTGGGTCAGTTCAGGCTTTGAGGGTGACTTAGCCTGGAGAAGGGAATTTCTAACTCTCTAGAGAGAAATTTCTCCTCCAAGCTTTAGGAATATTTTTCGCCCACTCACTGTTCTCCGACAGTCTGAAGGACAAGGTTCCACATTTAATCTTTTTCATGTACATGTATCAAATCACCTTCTCTTTTTAAGCCGGGTATGTGGGTCGTTAGATGCATGTTCTTTCAAGACATCATTCCGTACGTTAAAAGACGTACCAGTGTATTTCAATCTGGATCAATCACTTAATACTTGTGACTTCTATATTGTGAAAGAATGTATAAAACTGTGATTGTATGGTCATTGAGAATGAAATCTCTGATAGATACTTTCTGCAGAACGTTTTGTGTACTCTGTAATATCCTGACGAATATTTTCTATAACTTGGAGTGAGATTGATTTATAACAGTTGGTAGATACTGCTTAATTTTGAACAATAAAAAGTTTAGACCATGTGTTGTTTGCTCTGTTCTGAATAGTTCATCTACTGCTTTGATAATATATATTCGTTGCACCTTAATATTATAACAGTGTATTATGTATTAGCTCTAAGCCGCAACATTTTTAGCATTTGAGTAATGTAAATTTAAGGTTTCTGAAGGTCATAGAAATCAGATAGGTGTTTTGATATTTTAAGTTTTACAAAATCTTTACGGGAAAAGATCGGCATATTAGTATCTAATGTTAACGAATAGTTGACTATGCAAAATTAAATGACTCTCTGAAGTTGTCAGAGAAATTTGAAATAATGCTCATTACTGCAAACATTACTTGCATATCTAACCAGTTGATAGATGATCATTAACATATCATGATATTGTTTCCCTGGGGAATATGTCAGATGGTTCAGACTACTTCGTGAAGCGATATAGGCAGTGTGGAATTTAGAAATGAAGATTTAAATATGCTACGTTGCGGTAGTCGTTAGTGTCATTGAGATGTGTTTATGATCAAAATTTATAAGTCCCAAATAGTTCATAGTCATGTCTGTCTAAGGAAGTTACTAAATGTTAAATATACGGTACAAAATTGTTATATTCACTTATCTTAAACTTGATAATCCTAAATGTATAAACAAATTGACAATGTATAAGTCTTTATGAGAAAATACAAATCTTTAAAGTAAACAGATACTTGAGTAATTGTCGCAGTGGAATTAGTTACTACTAACACTTTGTAGTCCTACCACCTTCATACGATTTAACCATCTGGAAGTTCATTTACAACTAGTAAGTCTGATTTTTTCGGCAGTAGTGAGTTTTCTTGATTTTATAGACACGTCAACAGTAAGTGCCAAAATGGAAAAATCCAGTTATATAATTTGCAGTTCAGTTATTCTCACTAATTTAGTAGATTTTATGCTTGTTTTCCTAATTCGAATTTGAAAAATGAAGCCAGTACATTCTGTTAATTTTCGCATCAAAGTTTTTCAAGAAGATTTTCATTTCATAACACGTTTCTTTTATTTTCTTGTTTTATGCTAGGATCCTCGTTTTAATGATTCTGTTGATCGTATAACAGGTTACAGAACACACTGTCTCTTATGCATGCCAATAAAAAATGTCGATGGAAAAGTCTTAGGTGTTGCATTAGTCATCAATAAGAAAAAGTCTATGGATCAACGACAGCAAGAGAATAACCAGGGTATAGCGCCAGTTCAATCTACCAGTGACCCACGTGAAGTGAATACTAAACACGCGTGGTTCACAGATGAAGATGTCAAAATTTTTCAGTCATATGTTGCTTTTTGTGGAATTGGATTACATAATGCCCAAATATATCAACAAAGTCGATTAGAAACTTATCGTAGTCAAGTAAGTATCTTTTGATCACTTCATTGGAGTAACTTTGATTTTGAAAAAAGTCTAAAGGCGTCCTAAGGTAGTTTGTAAAAATCAACGCCGGGTGAACTCTGTTTTAGTTTAATAAGTATTGCTATGAAGTAGTGAACTATGAAAAGTTGACAGTGATAACCATGTCCACCTACAAGCCAATAAGAGTGATAGCTAAGAAATCTAATCTAATCTAGTGATAACATACATTTTATAAGTAACGCAACTGGTATCAATTACTAATACTTGAGGATAAAAATACAGCCATGTGGAAATTTAAACTAAAAGAGTAATAATTAGTAAGATTTAGTATGTTATTAATATTTATACTGGAGTAGAAGTAATGCACACTCAACCCTATTTTGAGATCAAACTTCAAATCTACAGATGTTTTAACATATATATTTCATCTTTTTGAGATGCTGCCTGGGAATGAATGGTTCTCATTTTTCATCTCTTATTTTTTTAAAATTTTTGTAAAACACCTTTCGCTGACTAGTCTTTCAAGTACGTAATTTCTTTCTTCATCAATAGAAGGCTTTCTTTTTACTTTATAGCAAAGGATATATATATGTATATTTCTTGAAATTCAACTTTATACATTTGTCATCGTTTCTTGCCTTGTCCAAACTTCTTTTTTTTTTAATATTCTTCTACTCATGATTGTTTCTTCTACTTATAAGTAGAATCATGTGATTATTTCTAAAAAAGGTTTTTCATTTATTTATTTTTTTCTTACTAACTGCAATCAATAATTCAAGTGCATAAGTGCAAGTACCATAATAATAAAACGATTAAAAGTGTGGTACTATGAATATATGTAGCTTTCAATAGATTATAATAGATTTCAATAGTTGGTTTGTAAGGATTAGATTTGTTTTGACGAGTTGGTCACGGATTAATATCAGTGATCAACTGATCAAAGATAATAATAGAGATAGCGATTGAATTCAGTCTATAGTTATTTATCACAGTTAACTGATGTGGTTGTTTGTGGATTTGATTAAGTCTAAGAAGTAATTAGAGCCAGTAAGTAGTGAAGGTCTTTCTGTAATGAAGTAGATCTAGCTACTATCATCCACTTTTTACTTTTAGACACAACTTTCATAGGCTTCAGATATCCATTGGATTTATGTTTCATTCACTTGATAAGATCTATATAATATAAAATAAAAAAGTAATAAAAAGAAAGCATAGTCCGCCGTGCTATAACACGGACATGGTTGCGTAACGTACAACTGCAAGTGCTCACGGAGAACAAGACAGAAACCTGTGACTGCATGGTCACTACTTCCTAGAGGAGTCATGATCTGGACCTTTTCGACGAGCAGTTGGTCACTAGTTAGAATGCAGTCTAGTTTAAATGGCCTTTGGTGCATCGGTGGCACAGTGGTTAGGACTCTCACCGACTATGCACATGGTCCGGAGTTCGAGCCCACGCCGACGCACACCTGATATCTATGGTCGGCCTGCAAAATTTAGGCTATCGATATCACATGCTGAAAATTCCATACTTGTACCAAAAATGCGATGTGGAACCAAGCTATAATAAAAATAAAAAAATAAATATATTCGTGTAGTTTTAATTGCTGATTTCTCATTCAATGATTGAGTGTTTCATTTGCGCGGACTACTGGTATACCTTGCTGATGATAGTTGTATTTATTTCTACTTGGTTTTCACTACCTTTTCGAATAATATGAGTTAAAATAATCTACTCTGAGTTCAGCTGACTTTTTAGAAGTGTTAGTTAACTTCAAAGTACATCGTTTGTTTTCTTAAACAAATTTTGATTGTAGTATTTTTGATTTAGAAGATAATTTTTTGTGTGTGGGAAAGCTTTAGGTACATACAATTTGCACACACACACACACACTTATCTGTCAAAAATTTTCGCTTTAAGCTTTTAGTCAAATATTCTACATGAATGACCATGTGAGATATTTTTCTTTACAAAAATTTTAGTGACGATTCTATTTCAAATAGCCAATTATACACTTAAAAATCTTTCCAGGTGTGTTTCTAATCATATTTGCATTGACTGTGAGTATACAGATGTAGGCTTTCTATCTGTATGCCCAGCGTTTTGTTTCCGAACGTGTTTCGTTTTAGGTGATTGCGTTAGGTCTTACATAGTAGATGTGATACAAAACAATGAAAAGTGTATTAGTTAGTACTAGGTGGTACTTTCAGGCGCCATAACGACTTGTTACCACTTATCAAATGTGAATATGTAACTGTATTAGTCAGCTAACAGTGATGTTAACGGCATAATAAATGATTCAATCGTACAAGCCTCCTATTTATTTCTTTATGCAGATTATAACAGTAAAAGTGTAGAATATCTACTTGGTAATTTTTTAAAAAATAAGAACCAATCGCCAACCAACAAATATGCAGGAGAAAGTGGGGATGGATTGGACACTGGCTGAGGAGGCCACCGGGTGACATCGCGTGCGCGTCAGGCCATTGCTCGAGTGGAACCAGGCCGAAAAGGAAGCGGCGAGTGGGACGTCCAAGGGTGATATGGAAGAGGTCGTGTGAAGAGGAGTTGAAACAGTATGGACTAACATGGATTCAGGTGAAAAGTACAGCAGAAGGAAGACATAAGCAAGTGGAGACGTGCAGTTCAAGCCCTATGTTCCACTAAGAACACAAGGGAACAATAATAATAATAATTTTTTAAAAGTTCACTAGTTTAATAAACTTGATTAAGTCTTATTGTGGTGTTGCCAACACTAGTGTCACTAATCAGTCTAAAAGCGAATAATTAATTTTCAGACGGCATTCCTTTATCTTTCTTCCGGATGATTTGCATAATTCCTGCTATACTGATAATCCTGTTAAGCTGCATATTATGCGTATAGATTGTGTGTACGTGTTCATAACACTTATGTTGACATCTAGAGGTGGTTAGTGTTTTCATCTGTTGTACAGTCAATACACCTAGTAACCAGTGCACTGAACTACATCAAAATTCACAACGCCACTGATCAATTTAGCCTGATTTCCAATCATTTCTGAAAGTTACACTTGAAAGATGGAGACTAGGATAGGCTATCAACCAAGGGACGTGTGTACTGCTCAGCATTTCGCTCTGTCCTTCTCTATGGCTCTGAAACATGGCCAATACGAGTTGAAGACATGAAAAGGTTGACTGTTTTTGATCGTAGATGTCTACGATCTCTTTCTCACGTTAGGTGGTATAACAAGGTAAGTAATGTTGACGTTAGGCGTAGAGTGTTGGGCAAAGAGGGGAAATCAATCGACGAGGCTATAAAGTTACACAGATTGAGATGGCTAGGTCACGTGCTGCGCATGCCTAACCATCGCCTCCCCCGACGGGCATTACTAGCTGATATAGGTGCAGGTTGGAAAAGAGTAAGTGGTGGCCAGACAAAAACATGTCATGGCATCAATCCATGAAATCCTTGACAGTTAAACTGAGTCAGGTAGGTAGGGAGATGCATACTTCCGGGTTGGGGCCATCGGTACTGACTCTAGGAATCAGTGGCTGGAGACAATAGGTGACATGGCTCAAAATCGTTGTCAATGGCCAGCGCAGATGTATTCAGTCTCTGTAATCTTTCATATTCCTTTCTACCATTACTCATTCTGTTTCACTCTTATACTTGTCAGACTGTATTGATTCTCTTCACTAATCTTCGTGTCTACCTCTGTGTGCTATTTGGAACGTGGCAACTCTAACTACTGCATTTCGGTGCCAAGTTCTATGTTGAATCCAGACAGACAGACTTATTATTTGTGAATAGTGTAAATGCTTTCAATCCAAGTAAAACAGGCAGAAATTAGTGATCGCAATTTATTTTCAAGATTAACAACTAATTCTAGTTCATACGCATGCCAGAGATATATCATCGTCATCATCTTTACCGCAAAGTTTTTGATCTTATAGTTTACAAGAAAAATTTCTGTTTTATGTGCAGTATATTCGATCAAGGAGGTTCATTAAAGTGATTGACATCGTATGTGTGTTTAATAAGGTCATTAAATGCATTGACTCAATAGTTTTATCCGTATATTATTGGCAGTTTATTGATTAAAGTCGTCATTCTTTCAGAAGATTTAGTGACTATAATTCTTGACTTATATTTAATTTGTGTTAGATTCATCTTAATACTCAATTATCTGAGTGTAGAACTTGCACAGTTCAGTGTGTATCTTTAGGTCATTTGAAGCGTCGATTGACTCTGAAAAATGGAATAAAATTCATGAATTAGCAATCCGATAAAACAATTCATCATACTGTAATGGTTACAGTTATCTGAAATATATTCATTGTGTGGAGTTATTTGTATACTTTTGTAAGAAGTAGCTTATGAAATGAAATGAAATGTTTTTATGTAATATTAATTTCTGTCAGAAATTGTCTCTGTCATAACTAATCTAACAAACTCTCTTCAGCTTACCGCTTTAAGCATAAAGCGTAGCGAGCATACCTATGTGAATACGTTAAATGGAATACTTCTGGGTATGTGCGTTTCTATCAGCAATCTTCCGATGAGCACTAAATACCCACAGAAGATTTTCTGTATTCATTTCACTTTCGATGACACGCATAAATATTTCAAGTTCGACCATGGATTGATATCATTTTGAGAACGAGTAAAAGCCAGGGAGCACTTGGCAGGTGTTTCGACCCAGCTCGGGACTCATCGGCGGCACTCACCCATTCGCGTTCGAACCCAGGACGTTTCGATTACATGGTGAGCTCGTATACCAATCATCTACTGGGACCTGGCCCAGTTAACTATGAATCCTAAATTCTACTATTTCCTAGTTTTAGCGCGACCACCAGCCAATATCATCGGCGAGTATTTGCTGTATCTCCGGATCGGATACACCCCACTGGTCAGGACTTCTCAAAAGAACTCCAGGCAACTTCGCCTTGTGGCTGGTCACTAGCGAGCATCAGAATAACTTTCAGGAGTTAGTTTGTAAGAAATCTATGCAAATCTGTACCTCACAACTTCTCACTGTAATTTCACTGTATCTCTACATAATTTTGTTTTTTCTTTTCTTTGTCTGCCTAACTACTGTTTTTATGCAGGTCCTCTTAGAACTTGCACGAATCATATTCTCAGAACAACTTGATATTACTCGTCTTATTTATTCAGTATTATCGCATACTATATGTCTGTTACAATGTCAACGCTGTCAATTACTCTTGGTAAGAACAAGTTCTTCGTACATGTCATCCTACTCCTCGATTGATGAGGTAAGCAAAAAAACTTTTTTTTACACAAAACTAGGTGTTTATTTTACACTTTTCTTTATAACTTTGGTAAAAAACGCAAATGGTTTCTAGGTCTAATAATCCACCTTTTCAGAATATTAAAGGTCAATGATTGGAATCGCATGCTAGTGTTGTCATAGTTCAGAATTTTGTCTACTTTGGATGTTATCTGTGTGATCATAGGTGCCTGCGTTCTATCTCCCGTGTAAAGTGGTATAATAAGGTGAGCAATATTGAGGTTATGCTTCGATCGAGTGCTAGGTAAGGAGGGGAAATCAATCGATGAGGCTGTGAAATTACAACGAATGAGATGGTTAGGATATGTGTTACGTATTCCTAGTCATCGCCTTCCTCGACAATGGGCAATGTTAGCTGACATAGGGTCAGGCTGGAGAAGAGCTAGCGGCGGTCAAACCAAAACATGGCACCAGTCAATGAAATCTACAACAGTTAGTCTGAGCCACGTAGGTAGGTGTAGACTTCCTGACTGGTTGGGGTCCTCGGGACGGTAGCAACCAATGGTTGGAAACAATTGGTGACATGGCTCAAAATCGTTCTCAATGGCTGGCGCAGATGCATCCACTCCTTGTGACTTATGATTTCCAATGAAACTGTTTTGTTCTTCGTTATTAATATTCCTTCGTCTCACACCTTTGTTTACTTTCTCTGTTATGCATTTCTTCTACTTTCTTCTGTTGGTTTGTGTGCTACATGGAGTGTGGCGACTTGAACTGCCGCACATATTTGCAAAGTTCTATGTCGAAGATAAACAGACGCTAGTTTCCTTTGTTGTTTACCGTTAGATGAACTGCGTGGTTTTGCTTCACTGTTAGAATTAAGCACACCCTGAAACCAGTAATTAATTAAAAAAAAAAAAGAAATTTTGAACATATAACATATTTAGCAAAAATAGATTTTGATAGTGTTACTGAAAGATGAAGTTTACTTGAAAAATGCGGTATATTTATGCAGTAGATGTCGAACAGTCTGATCACAAATCTCTACTTGTCAATTAAATTTATGCCTGAAAGTGAGAGGAAATGACAGCTAAAGTGAAATAGATAAATTATTAAGGAATCGGAGGAGGATGAAATACTAATGATAATAAAATCATTTTATTACATGACTTATATGAAGTTGTGGCGCATTTTCCAGATAGACTTAACTCTGTGGAAAATCACATCAGCCTCACATCAGAGGAAGAAATTCGCAATTCACTCTCATTTCTAGGCATAATTTTGATTTGAAGAGAAAAGACGGTTGAATAAAATCGTCGATTTACAAAAAGTCTACTTCGACGTGACATTGAATGCAATAGAAGTGAGAATTAATAAAATGTGTGTGTAAGAGAATTGAGCGTATGTGCAGAGTCGATAGGGTGAGTGACGACAACGGAGTATTGACTAATAAATACACTTCGGGAAAACGAATATGGTTTGGATAGCCCATAGTTTATCCTGCCCCCAAAAAACTGTTTATGCGAAATAACAATACAAAAAGGATATAAATAGTAGTATGACTTTAAGATACAGACTAAATCCTGTCATCCGTAAAACTTACTACGCAACGCGGCATATAATTGTCAAGAAAGCCAAAACCGTGCTCTACCATAAACCTGTACATTCCACAGGTGATGATTATGCCAAATCACATTTAAAATATTTAAGTCAGCAAAAGGATCTCTTTTCGTAATAGTCTGCCGATTTCATCAAATTTTGATACCACGTATTATCCCATATATTCAAAATAATCGGTTATTTTTTGAGTAAATTGAAGAATAACCCACCTCCTACGCTGTCTCCACGACGGTGATAAAGTGAATACAAACAACAGGAGCACGCTGATTAATCCATTTAAGATAGATTTAATTGACAGCGTACTCGTTTTATTTCGAAATTGTAATCATGATATGATCTAACTAAACGTTATGACGACAACTGCTTACCTGTACATCAGGAAATCGAAAAAAAGTGGAACCAGATTTTGTGAACAAAAATTTCAACTCCCTTATCTATCTATCCCTTAAACTTATTTTGGCAATTTCCTAAACAGCAGATATATGAGTGTTCTGTGCTTTTTTTATCACAGCAACTGGTAGTAACCAAATTGTTCGTTTATATCTATTTGTATATTATTTTGTACAAAATGCTTTGCAAAATTACTGGCGCGTAATTAGCCTATTTGAATTGTATTTTTCTGCATGATTTATTGTCATTCATTTGATGATTTTATTTCAATCTACTTATCTGATGTTGTAATGAAACATTTCCTACCTGGTATGGTTATTAATGTATATGGTAAAACTTTTAGAATAGTGTTATTTTGTCGTGTTATAAGGGCTTAAGACTCAGATATCTGATTAAGTGCACTATTTCTTTGTAAAATACATCGAAATTTCTCGCTATCAAATACATAACCAGTGTTGCGTGAACTCGAACTCCACATCACTTTAGGAAGTCTTTCCAAGCATACAGATATCAATAATTTGAATAAAGCAAGAAAAAAACAGTTTGTGTAGAATAAAAGGGTACCATCACATTTATTTCGTTGACTTCTCATCAGCTGCTTACAGTCCAAAAGCATTGTTAAGTTTATGTACAGAAACAATTTTAACATACACAGAGAGTTAATTTTTAAACAAAAAATCAATATATGCATACTACTACTACTGCTACTACTAATTATAATTATAATTATAATCACTTTATCCCAAACAACAATAATCACACGTGTCGCCGAAAATTCGATTGTGTATGATTATTATTGTTTGGGATAAAGTGATTATTATTATTATTACCACTCTACGCATATATTGATTTTTTGTCTAAAAATTCACTCTCTGTGTAAGTGTGTTAAAATTATTTCTATAAATAAACGCAATAATGTCTTTGGACTGTAAGCAAGTGGTGAGAAGTCAGCGAAATAAATGATGGTACCACTTTATTCTGCACAAATCACTGTTGTGTTCTTGCTTTATTCAAATTCATAAAGGCGAACAAATGTATGAAGTTATCAGTAAGTCTTGCTTAAAAGGCATAAAAGATATACTTTATTGCATGAAACTACCTACAGCTGTTAAGTCGCTTTTTTAAATTCTGCCTTTCTTCCACTTAGCATTGTGTATGTTCAAAGTCAGTTTATTTCAATTTCTCTTATTTTTAATTGATTTTTAATAGTGATATAGTTGAGTTGAACACAGTTAGTAATGTGTATCTTCCGTTAAGCTAGGGGATAAATTGGATCACTGCCTACAGAAATTTGTATATTTTTGCTGATTGTGAGTACAAGGTTGCCGATAAGCTTTTCTGTAGAGAATACTTGTTTTTTTGTTCATTCCAATGAAAATTAATTACATGATTAATTACATGAAATGTGCGAATAGCAGTTGTCGTGTAGTTTTTCGTGATTGCTTTCCATCATGTTACTAAGTAAATTTTAAAATATGCGTAGAATCGACAATCAACGGACTCATTTCTTTATCATCTTCGGTTTCAGTGGTTTAGATGAGGAAAGACAGCGAATTACTGAATACTTTTGTAGTCAGGCAAAAGAAACGGTGTGCCAGTATTCTACTTTCGTTATTGATCCGTTCATTCGTCTGTATGACTTCTGTAGTAATAGTAGGATTTCATTAGACGTTATTTAACATGCGGGGGGGGGGGTTACTGCTTATGAGTCTTTAGCTTAATGGCTTAACCGGTCAGCTTTAGACTAGTAATAATATTATGGTGGGGGGTGACTCCCACCTCCCATTATAAATTTTCTACTGGAAGGCATAGAATATTTCGAACCCGATTTCTCAATAAACCATCATTAATGTACTGAATTTTGATACTTTTGATGTCAGAAGCTCCCTACTACAGTCTCACACATTCGTGTTATTTGCAATGAACTGTTACGCCCAAAGAGACTTAAGGTGTGGTGTTAACCCGTGCTATCATCCCAATGTCTTCTAATTTTTTGAATGGATTTATGTTGCAAAGCTTACCTAATTGAATGATGGGACATTTAGTTCAGCTATTATATATTGTAAATAAACCCATCAAGTTTCATGAATGCTTTGTAAAGGCGTGTTTTTTTCTATTCATTTCGGTTATTAGTTTAGCTGTCATTTAACTTTTTTTTTATAGTATTGTGTTTTCTAGACTTTTTCACTTGTCCTCATTGAAATAAATATACTAAGATGAAATCAAGAGGATCAATCCATTAAGTTTAATCACTTTAGAGTAGATTATTTCAAGTTTTTTTCTCATTTTTTTTTGCTATAAGAGTTCATTAATTTTTTAAATTACTAAGAATTTAGGGAATTTCAAAATAACATATTTTATTCTGAAAACATATAACATTTCTGTCTTACTTTTCCCACTGCTGGCTACATTATTTCTTTCAGTCTCTCGTATACATCCTAGCATATGAAATCTGAAGTCTGACGTGGAAAACCGACAAATTTCATTAATGGCAGCGACACACCTAATAAGATAAACACTTTCAAATATTTTTATCAGTTTTCAATTGACATTTAAGTCAGTGTAACTGTGAATACAACTCCAATGGTTATACACTCTCACAGTCTATGATAGAATATTCATCGAGTAAAAATTTTAGGCCAGTAGAGTAAAGTTATCTTTGTCCTCCTGTCTCAGCATAACTAGATTTCGATGTTCACTACTTATGTGATGCAAATTTATTAATTAATTAGGATTGACATTGCTCCTGTCCATCTCAAGCAAAATACTAAGCCCCATCATCTTGGAGAGAATCAAACACGCAGCCCTGGATGAAAAACTTCGACCGGAACAGGCTGGATTTACGAGAAACAAGTTATGTGTTGATCAAATCGCCACACTACGGATCATCATTGAACAAAGCTTGGAATGACAGTCACCTCTCCATCTCAACTTCATCGACTTTGAAAAGGCCTTCGACAGTGTCGATCGAGAGGTCATTTGGCAACTACTTCGCTACAACGGGGTCCCATCGAC